TCGTCGCCTGGACGACCTGTTTCGTCAGCGCTTCGGCCTGTCGCCCGAGCTCCTAGACTGGCACAACTTGCTTCGTCATAGGGTTCAGATTTTTGATCTGGATATGGATGAGATTGTTACCGCTCTGTATGTGATGTAGGCTGATGACTCTAGTGTGGTTCCGTGTTCTTACCCCTTGTTGCCTAGTGTAGATGTGCCTTGCTTAGACTCCCCTGCTGCGTCAGGCGTAGGATCCCCTGCTTTTTTTAGCCTTGGTGCTTCCGTCACTGCTTCGCCTCCGGCCGCCACTGCCGCGCTCTCCATCACCCTCGAATCTGGCGCTTCCCGGTGCTTCTTCCGCGATTCCACCACGTTGACACCGCTTCCTGTCCCTGCTGCAGTCTCTCTTGCTGACCCCTCCTCCGGTCTTGTAGTCGCCCGCAGTTCCACCACCCTCCCTTGCCCGGCGGTTCCTTCGGGCTCGCTCACAGGTCTGCACATCCCCTCGTTCTCCAGGAAACTAGTTGGTGTCGGCTGCCTTGGCGTCACCACTACGTTCCCTGGACACGAGCGGTACGCTGTCTGTACCGAGGCCGCCACTAGTGCCCTGCGGTCCACGTTCCCACGGGACCCGGTATCCGGCCTTTCCACACTGGACAAGGTGACCCCCCCGGCTAGGACCCCCCCTCAGGTGGCTGCGTCTCCTCGGGTTGCTGCTGCCTACTCCTGTCGCTCTCTCACCCACCCGACCCTTCTCTGGCACCACCGCCTAGGTCACCCTGCGCTCCCGCGTCTGCGTCACATGTCACAGCACGGTCTCGTCCTAGGCCTCCCTGGGTCGTTCCCCGAATTTCCCTCCTCCCCAGCCCCACCTTGCACGCCGTGTGTTGAGGGCCGGCTCCGCCGTGCCCCTCACTCCTCCTCGTTTCCCCCTACTGCAGCAACGCTACAGACTCTGCACATGGACGTCTGGGGCCCCGCCCCCATCCATGGGCCGCATCGAGAGCGCTACTTCCTAGTGCTTGTTGACGACAACACGCACTACACCACTGTGTTCCCCCTGGAGCGGAAGGCCGACAGGCCTGACGTTCTTATCCCGTGGGTTGTCACTGCGGGTGTCCGCTGCGGTCTCCCGGTCGACCGTGGTGGCGAGTTTGCCTCTGGTGTCCTTGGCCGTTTCTGTCGTGCGGAGGACATCACCCAGACGTTCACCTTGCCGGACTCCCCGCAGTAGCATGGGGTCACTGAGCGACACATCGGTTTGGTCATGGAGGTGGCTCGCACCTCCATGATCCATGCCGGTGCACCCCATTTTCTGTGGCCGTTCGCCGTTCGCTACGCCACTCACCACCTTAACCTGCGGCCGCACCCCCAGCAGCCTCGGGTTTCGCCGACCCTTCTTTGGTCTGGGTCCCCTGGTGACGTGTCTGTGTTTCACGTCTGGGGTTGCCTTGCTCACGTTCGTGCTTATGGCATGGACAAGCTCACAGCCCGCACCCTTCCTTGTGTCTTCCTCGGCTTCCCCCTTGACGCGTCTGACTTGCACTTCTACCACCCGCCGTCTCAACGGTTCTTTCACTCCCGCGACGTCACCTTTGATGAGTCCGTCTCCTTCTTCCGCCACTTCCCCCACCGCGGTCCCCCTGTTACCCCCCCTGTTCCTAGTCACCCCTTCCCCGGTCGTCGCCGCCCCTCTTCCTCCCCTTCCCCGTCCTGGTCCCTGTGGTGTGTCCCACGTCACCCCACTTCCGTCGGTTGTCTCGGTTGAGGAGTCTGCTGACTCTGGTGGTCCTACGGTGCAGTCCTTGCCACCTGCTCCTTCTCAGGTGTCTCCTCCTCCGCCGCCTCCGCAGCCGCCGTCGCCACCGCTGTCGCAGCCGCCGTCGCCACAGCTGTCGCAACCGTCGGCACCGCAGCCGCCGCCGCCGCAGCCGTCGTCGCAGCAGTTCGTTGCCTCTAGGGGTGCTAGCGTGGAGTGTTCTGGAGGTAGCCGCGAGGCAGCTTGCAGTCCTGGTGTCGGAATCACACCGCCGCCGCAGCAGTCCCCGCTGGTTTCCGCTCTTTGCCTGCTCGGCCTTCCGTCCCTTCACCCCGTGCCTGTTCCTCCTCTCCCTCCTGTCTACGGCCCTGTGTTCCCTCCTCCGGACTCGTCTCCGGCCCGTTCCCCCCCTCGTTCCCCTCTTGTGTCCCCTCCTCTATCTCCTGACCCGACTCCTCCGTCTCACGTCTGGTCTCGCCGTCTCTGCCGTGCTCGACCTGTCTCCCCTGTCTCACGCTCTCACTTTATGTTGCTTCGTTCCCACGTGTCTCGTCCTCCCCTTCTCCCGTCGCCCCCTCTGTCCTCCCTTGTCGTTGCCCCCCCCCCTCTGTGTGACTACCTGCTTGCCCGCTCTTCCTCTTGTTCCTCGGGTCCTTGCCTCTCTCGTTACCGACCCGTCTGTTCCGGTTTCGCGTCTTGACGCCCTTGTCGCTGCGGTCGCTGACTTCGCCTCTACTCGCCGCCTTGACTACGTCACCGCTCTGGTCTCTGACCCTGTCTGTCCTCCGTCTGTTGCAGGTGCTCCTGCCCTCGGCAGTTACATCCTGGAGGACCGCCAGTACGAGCTTGCTTTCCTGTCCGAGAGTGCTCCCCACCTCTGCTCTATGCTTCTAGTCCCTGAGGGTGATCCCGACGCTTTCGACATCCCGACCCCTCGCACTTACGCTGAGGCGGTCTCGGGACTCTGGGCCTCTCAGTGGATAGCTGCCATGGAGCAGGAGATGGCATCTTGGAGATCCACCGGCACCTTCGTCGACGCAGTTCCCCCACCTGGGGTGAACGTAATCGATGGCCGGTGGCTCTCCAAGGTGAAGCGCCCTCGTGGAGAGCCGCCTGTGTTCAAGGCGCGCTACGTGGCTAGAAGTTTCAGTTAGCGTGAGGAGGTGGACTTCTTCTAGACCTTCGCTCCGACCCCGAAGATGACTACTCTTTGGGTGCTGCTACACGTAGAAGCTCAGCATGACTACAAGTCACACTCCCTCGACTTCTCCACTGCGTTTCTTCAGGGCAGTCTACACGAGCAGGTCTACCTGCGCCGCCCGCAGGGCTTCACTGATACCTTCCCTCTTGGGACCCAGTGGCTCCTGCGGCGCCCAGTCTACGGCCTGCGGCAGGCTCCCCATGAGTGGCACGACATGCTGCGTGCTAGGCTTGTTGACCTGCAGTTCTTTCCGTCCACTGCAGACCCCTCGCTCTTCGTTCGTGCTGGCCAGACCCCGTTCTACATTCTTGTTTACGTAGACGACCTGGTCTTCACCACGGCAGATAGGGACGCACTGGCCTCCATGAAGGCAGAGCTGCTGAAGAGACGCACCTGCACTGACCTTGGAGAATTGCGCCACTACCTTGGCTTGCAGATCTCCAGAGACAGAGCAGCGCGCACCATCAACTTGACTCAGTCACACTTGGTGTGCCAGGTCCTTTAGAGGTTCGGCCTTTAGTTCTCCTCTGCACAGCCCACTCCTCTGCCTATAGACCACAGGCTCTCCGCTCCAGTTCTTGAGGAGTCGGCAGAGCCCAGTGGTCCTTACGCAGAGCTGGTGGGTTGCCTCATGTACCTGATGACTTGCACTCGCCCAGATCTCGCATACCCTCTCAGCATCCTGGCTCGCTTTGTGGCTACAGGCAGACACCGACCTCAGCACTGGTCTGCCGCTTAGAGGGTTTTGCGTTATCATGCAAGTACATCGGGCATGGGGTTAGTGCTAGGAGGACGCATGCCAGTGGTCCTTACTGGACACATAGACGCTTCTTGGGCAGACGATGCCGAGAACCTCAGGTCCTCGCAGGGCTACTGCTTCAGCCTTGGTTCAGGTGTCGTCTCGTGGAGAGCTACCCGCTCCTCGTCTGTTGCCCAGTCCAGCTGTGAGGCCGAGATCTACGCCGGTGCCATGGCGGCACAGGAGCTCCGCTGGCTGACCTTGCTCACTGACTTAAGTGAGCGGCCTAGCTCTGCCCCGGTCCTGTACGCTAACAACAGGGCCATGATCCTCCTGTGTCAGGAGCCTCAACTCAAGGGTAGAGCGAAGCACATCCAGCTGTGGTACTTCCTCCTGCGTGAGCTCCAGCTGCGCCGCCAGGCGTGCGCAGTACACTTGGCCTCCGGTGCCAACACTGCTGATATCTTTACGAAGGCGCTTGCGCCTAAAGATCATCAGCGGAACTGTGTACAGCTAGGTCTTGTTCCTGTAGCCTCTCACTTGCTAGGGCCTTGACTGTGTACTGTCCTTTATATATATATTTTTTACCCTGACTGGCCTTCTGGCCTCTTCCCAGTGGCTGAACTAGTAGTGCGGCCATGGTCTTGCTCTTGCCTTGTCTGTACTCCTTGTGACTGGTCTTTAGACCCTTGTCTCAGAGGCTGGACTAGTAGTGCCGCCCTGAGCTGCTTCTTCCCTTACTAGGCACTGCCCGTATGTAGTCTAGGGGGTGTGTCAAACAAAACTTATGCAATTACTGTAGACTATATATGTTTGTGCCTTAGTGGGTACAGCTGACTAGTCTATATTGCCTTGTATCTCCCCATTCTAGTCATTATTCATTCTGATACAACCGCCCCGCACCAATAACTATCCTCGCTCCTTATTGCTTCCGGTTTTTTTGTGTCCATATTTTGTTCAGAGCCAAAAGCAGGGACATTTTACTGCAAGCAAAAAATATACAAGATTGAAGTGAGCCCTTGCTTTGTGTTTTTAGCCAGGGGCTTTAAATCGTAGCAGGAACAGTTGCATAAATATTGTGATTTATTGTATAGTACAGATGATGGTATATTTTGTGCATCGAACGTGTTGTGAAAGTGAGAATGATTGACTAGAATGAGGTGGTACAAGGGGATATAACCTACGGGGTTGTACTCTATATAAGCATGCACCTACGTAGCCTATAACATACACAAACTATATGTTGACACACCCCCTAGGCTAGACAAGGGGCAGCGACTAGCAAGAGACACGCAGCTCAGGGTGGCACCACTAGTCCAACCTCTGGGGTAAGGGTCCGAAGACCAGTCAGCATGAGTACAGACGAAACAAGTGTAATCCAAGGCGGCACTACTAGTCCAACCACTGGAACAGGGCCACAAGGCTTGTCAAGATAATATAAAAGGAGTACACAATCAAGGACCAAGCAAGTGAGAAGCTACAGGAACTAGACCAAGCTGTGAACAGTGCCTCTGATGATCTTTAGGCGCAAGCGCCTTCGTAAAGATATCAGCTGTGTTAGCATCGGATGCCAAGTGTACTACGCGGGCCTGGCAACGCTGCTGCGGCTTGCGCAGGAGGAAGTACCACAGCTGGATGTGCTTCGCTCTGCCCTCCAGTCGAGGCTCTTGACATAGGAGGATCATGGCACTGTTGTCAGCGTACAGGACCGAGGCAGAGCTACGCCGCTCACCTAAGTCTGTGAGCAAGAAGGTCAACTAGTGGAGCTCCTGTGCCGCCATGGCACCTGTGTAGATCTCACCCTCACAGCTAGACTGGGCAACAGACGACGAACGAGTGGACCGCCACGAGACAGCTCCTGCACCAAGGCTATAGCTGTAGCCCTGGGAGGACCTGAGTGTCTCAGCGTCGTGTGCCCACAAAGCGTTAGTGTGCCCAGTAAGGACCACCGGCCTTTGTCCTCCTAGCACTAGCCCAATGCCCGATGTACTTGCTAGATAACGCAAAACCCTCTTAGCGGTCGATGTCTGCCTGTGGCCACAAAGCAAGCCAGGATGCTGAGGGGGTATGCGAGATCTGGACGAATGCAAGTCATCAGGTAAATGAGGCACCCCACGAGTTTTGTGTAAGGACCACTAGGCTCTATAGACTCCTCAGGGACTGGAGCAGAGAGCCTGTAATCTACTTGCATTGGTGTGGGCTGTGCAGAGGAGACCAGAAGCCGAACCTTTGAAATCAGAGAGATGGTGCGCGCTGCTCTGTACCCAGAAGGTAGCGGCGTAGCTCTCCCAGGTCAGTGCAGGTGTGTCTCCTCAGCAGCTCAGCCTTCACGGTGGCCAGTGCGTCTCAGTCTGCAGAAGCAAAGACCAGGTCGTCTACGTAGACCATGATGTAGAACGAGGTCTGGCCAGCACAAACGAACAGTGAAGGGTCTGCAGACGAGGGAAAGAATTGGAGGTCAGCAAGTGTAGCACACAGCGTGTCGTGCCACTCGCGCGGCGCCTGCCGCAGGCCATAAACCGGACGTCGGAGGAGCCATTGGGTCCCTGGGACGAAGGTGCCAGTGAAGCCTGGCAAGCGACGCAGGTACACCTTGAAGAAACGCTGTGGAGAAGTCAAGTGAGTGCAGCTCGTAGTCACGTTGTGGAGCTACGTGTAGTAGCGCACGAAGAGTATTCATCTTTAGGGTCGGGGCGAAGGTCTGGAAGAAGTCAACAGCCTCGCACTGATTAAAGCCTCTAGCAACATAGCGCGTCTTGAACACCGGCGGCTCTCCGGGAGGGCGCTTCACCTTGAAGAGCCACCGGCCATCGACTACATTCACCCAAGGTGAGGGAACTGCGTCGACGTAGATGCTGGTGGATCTCCAAGATGCCATGTCCGCGTCCATGGAAACTATCCACTGAGAGGCAGAGAGTCCCAAGGTCGCCTCCGCGTAAGTGTGAGCGGTCAGGATGACAAAGTCGTCTTGGTCTCCCTCAGGGACTAGCAGCACTGAGCAGAGTTGAGGCGCGGCCTCGGACAACAAAGCGAGCTCCTACTACCGGTCCTCTTGGACGTCACTGCCAAGGGCAGGAGCACCTCTGACGGACGGAGGACGGACAGGGTCAGAGACCACAGTGGTGGCATTGTCAAGGTGACGGGTAGAGGCGAAGTCAGCGACGGCAGCGACAAGCGCGTCAAGGCTCGAGACAGGAACAGCCGGGTCGGTAACAAGGGAGGCCAAGACACGAGGAACAAGAGGACTAGGAGCACGAAGTGATGAGACAAAGGATGCGGAGCGACAACAAGCGACGACGAAAGAGGCGATCGGAGGAGGGGAGGACGAGATGGGTGGGAGCGAAGTAATATAGTGTGGGAGCGCTGAACAGAAGAGGCCAGACGAGCACGGGAGGGACGGCGAGACCATACGTGAGACGGGAGCGTCGGGTCAGGAGACAGGGGAGGAGACACATGAGCAGAACAAGGGGAGAAATGAGCCGGAGACGAGGTTGGCGGAGGAAAAACAGGGTCGTGAACAGGCAGGGGAGGTGGCGGTAGGAGAGGCGCAGGTGGGGAATTAGGGTAGGGAAGACCGAGGAGGCGAAGGGTGGACACTCGCGGCGACTATGGCTGCTACTGCTATTTCACGCCGACACCTGAACCTCCAGCTGCACAACGGCTACCTCCAGGACACTCCACTCCAACACCCGCAGAACGAGAAACCTCTCCAGCACCGGTGCCACCCCCGAGACCACCGAGACAAGCCACGCCAGTAACCCTAGGACTAGCACCCTCCCTAACGACCGCACCCCCAGAACTCGCGAACCCCGGCGGCTGCTGCGGCTGCGGTGGAGACGGCGGCGACGGCTGCTGCTGCTGCGGCGGCAGCGGCAGCGGAGGAGGGGACACTGGGGCAGAGGCAGGCGGTGAAACCAACGCCAGGAGTCAGCCGACTCTTCAACCGGGACAAGCGACGGGAGGGGAGTGACGTGCGACACACCAGATAGGGCAGGACAGGGAGGGGGAGGGGCAGGGGCTACTGGGGGAGTGGGAACAAAAAACAGGGGCGGTGATACCGGGAGACCTCGGTGGGGAAAGCGGTGGTAGAAGGAGACAGACTCGTCAAAAATGACGTCACACGAGTGCAAGAAGCGGTGAGAAGGCAGGTGGTAAAAGTGCCTGTCAGACGTGTCAAGCGGGAAACCAAGGAAGACAGAGGGAACAGTGCAAGCAGTGAGCTTGTCCGTGCCAGAGGCTCGAACGTGAGCAAGGCAGCCCCAAACGTGGAACGCAGACGCGTCACCAGAGAGCCCGGTCCAAAGAAGGGTCGGCAAAACATGTGGCCGCTGGGAGTGCGGCCAGAGGTTAAGCTGGTGAGCGGCGTAGCGAACAGCGAACGACCACAGAAAATGGGGTGCACTGGAATGGATCATGGAAGTACGAGCCACCTCCGTGACCAAACCGCTGCGTCGTTGAGCGAACCCATTCTGGTGTGGGGAGTCCGGCCGGGTGTACGACTGGGTGATGCCCTCCGCATGACAGAACTGGCCATGCCAACTAGAGGCAAACTCGCCGCCATGGTCGGAGTGGAGACGCAACACACGGAGACCGCGGTGGACTCGCACAGCTACGACCCACGGGATAAGAACGGCAGGCATGCTGGCCTTCCACTGCAGAGGAAACGCCGTGGTGTAGCGCGTGAAGTCGTTGACAAGCACTAGAAAGTAGCGCTCTCGACGCGGCCCAGGGACGGGGGCTTGGCCCCAGACGTCCAGGTGCAGGGTTTGGAATAGCGAGGTGGCGGGGCAAAGCGAGGAGGAGTGAGGAGCATGGCGCAGCCGGCCCTTGACGCATGGCGTGCACGGCGGCACAGGCAAGGAAGGGAGGGCAGGGAGCGACGTAGGGAGACCTAGGACAAGACCGTGCTGGGACATGTGACGTAGACGGGGGAGTGCGGGGTGACCTAGGCGGCGGTGCCACAGCAGCGACGGGTGAGTAAGCGACCGACACGGGTTCTGGGGGAACGTGGTCAGAGGGGCACCAGTGGGGGCCTCGGTACAGACCGCGTACCGCTCGTGTTCGGAGAACGTAGTGGTGACGCCGAGGTCCTGAAGACAGCCGACACCAACTAGGTTCCTATAGAGCGAGAGGATGTGCAGGCCTGTATGAGAGCTCGAGGGGACTGCCGGACAGGGAAGGGTAGTGGAGCTACGTGCCACTATTAGAACTGAGGAAGGTTTAGCAAGTGCAACAATGGCAGGGACAGCAAGCGGGGTGAGCGCAGTGTGGTCGTGAAACAAGCAGGCGGACGCTCCAGAGTCGAGCGTAAAGGAGAGCGACGCAGTAGCGTCAGCCGGCGAAGGGGCTAGCGTAGAGCCTAGGCAGAGGGTCCTATGCCTAACGCAGCAAGGGAGCTTAGACTGCACACAGTGGACACACCTACGCTAGGCAACACCGAGTAATAGGGTCCAATCACACTACAGTCATCAGCATACATGACAGACATAGCAAGCCCAGCGCGTACCAATCAGGAGGGTCCGACGTGAGACTGAAGCGGCGGTGGAAAGGATCGTCCAGGCGGCGGTAGCAGAGGTCAGCGGTGTGGCCGGGCCGGAAGCAGAAGGTGCCGCGGCGAGGGCCGGTCTGAAGCTGGTACTGGCAGATGATCGCACTGAAGCCTCCACTCGACACCGACCTACGGAGGCCACCACCACAACCACCGCCACCGGCGCCGCTGGTCCTCCACGGTGGCGGGGGTCCCCACGGCAACTGCTGCTGGGGTGCGGCGACTGTTGCTGTTGCTGCTGCTGCTGCGGAGTCTGCGGCTGCTACTGCTGAGGCTGCGTCTGCTGCTTCTACTTCTCCGGGGCACCAACCCCGGTCCCCTCGTCCGAAGCACTGTCCCCGCCCCCACCTCCTCCACCCTGCCCACCCCCATCCCCCTTCCCTCCTCGACGCCCCCCCTTGGGGTGGCGGCCTTTACTCGGACGCGACTTCGCTGAGGCGGCAGCGGCGGTCTCAGCAATAGTAGCAAAGGCGTCAGAGTAAGAGCACTGGGAGGGAGCGAAGCCCTCCAAAGATAGGGACCGGTGCAGTACCACTAGACTGAGCGATAGTGCGCTGGCGGGTCTCTATCGCGGAGAGGGCTGTGAGAAAGGCGGGAAGGGTGAGGTCACCCGGGTGCTGACTGAGGAAGTGGTCGAGGGCTGTGGCTAAGCAGTCGGGGAGGCGCGTGGCAAGGAGGTACAGGGTAGCGCACGGCGGCGGCGGAAAGTCAGTGAACTGAGCCTCAGTACTAGCAGCGCGATAGCTAGACTCAAGCGTGCGGAGGTGGGTGGCAAAGTCAGCGACAGTGGGGAAGGACGCAAGATCAGGGAACAGCATCGGTAGGATCAGGCAGCCAGCAGAGGCGCAGGCGGGCGTGGAGTAGCGTGCAACTACGGCCTCTAAGAATTCATGGGCGGTCACTACAGTGGTAAAGCGCGGAGGCTCAGACAGGGGAAGAGCGTGACTAATGGCAAGCTGCGCTACAGCGTCGCGCAAGTCCCAGACAGCACAAGCAAGCACAGCAGCGGAAAAGGCCTCACGCTCAGCAGTGGTGGGGGCAGCAGGGAGGGCAACAGGCGCAGCAGGGCGGGGAAGCAGGCCATCGACATGAACAGCCAGAGATGACCGTCTTGGCGCTGACCTGTAAGGTGACGTCGGAGGTCGACAAGCCACGCCTCGAAGTCTATCGCCTGACCCTCGGCTTCCAGGCGAAGCTGGGAGTCCGCCATCCCCACGGCTGCAGCAGCTGAATGCCGCTGACAGGAAGAGGAGGAAAGGCGAAGGAAAGCAGTGGAGAGCGGTGGAGGGCGGTGGAGTGCGGTGGAGAGCGGTGGAGAACGGTGGAGTGCAGTGGAGTGCGGTGGAGTGCGGTGGAGTGCGGTGGAGTGCAGGAGAGAGCGGTGGAGTGCGATGGAGTGCGATGGGGAGCAGTGGAGACAACCGGCACGTGCGCTGGCTCAGAAGGGAGCCAAGATCGGTGGGTCGGTGGCGGCAGAGCGACGCGGCAGCGCAACGACACGGCGGCTCGACGGCACCGTGGCGACTGGTCGGTGCTGGGCTGGGGCGAGCTGTGGCCAGCAGAGCAGGGGCCGGTGGCGCTGGGGGACCGGCGGAGCGCACAGGGCCAGCGATGGAAACGGGGCCAGCAAGGGCGCGCGGGGCCGGTGGTGCGTACGGTGCTAGCTGGGGCGCGACGGGGCCAGCGGGGCGCACGGGGCGAGCGCGGCGCATGGGGCCAGCGGGGTTCGACGGGGCCACCGAGGCGCTAATGGGCCAGTGGGACGCGAGCAGGCTAGCTGAGCTCGACAAGGCCAGCTTGGCGCGAACGGGGCAGCGGGGCCTGCGGGGCCAGCGGGGCGCACGGGGCTGGCGGGGTGCGACTGGGCCAGCACGGCTAGCGGGGCCTAGCGGGGCCAGCAGGGCTAGCAGGGCTAGCGGGGCCTAGTGGGGCTGGCGGGGCGCGATGGGGCCAGCGGGGCTAGCGGGGCTGGCGGGGCGCGAAGGGGCCAGCGGGGCTAGCGGGGCTGGCAGGGTGCGACGGGGCCAGCGGGGCTAGCGGGGCCTACCGGGGCTAGCAGGGCGCGAAGGGGCCAATGGTTCTAGCAGGGCCTAGCGGGGCCGGCGGGGCGCACGGGGCTGGCGGGGTGCCACGGGGCCAGCTGGGCGCTCGGGGCCAGAAGGCTGCTAACGGGGCTAGTGGGGGCTGAGGGGGGGGGCGCGAAGGGGCTGGCGTGGCGCTAAGGGGCGGCTAGGGGAGACCTAACCTAGCGTGATACCATGTGAAAGTGAGAATGATTGACTAGATTGAGGTGGTACAAGGGGATATAACCAAAGGGGTTGTACTCTATATAAGCATGCACTTAGCTAGCCTATAACATATACAAATTATATGTTGACACATGTATCATAGTGTTTGTTAACTTTACACATGTTTTCCTTCAACCAGTAGCTGACTTCAACTCCGTTGGACTTTATGGAACTCCTAAGCATGGAAAACGAATAAACGGAAGGGGGAGACGGTAAGAGACGACAGGTTCGACGAAACGGGATGTGTACACGGGATAACAGCCGTCTTGTGCCTCACCTGCTAACACCCGCCGTGTGCCTCACCTGCTACAGCCGTCTCGTGCCTCACCTGTTACAGGCGTCTTGTGCCTCACCTGCTACAGCTGTCTTGTGCCTCACCTGCTAACAGCAATGTTGTGCCTCACCTGCTACAGCCATCCTGTGCCTCACCTGCTACAGCCGTCTAGTGCCTCACCTTCTAAGAGCCGTCTTGTGCCTCACCTGCTGCAGCCATCCTGGGCCTCACCTGCTACAGCCGTCTTGTGCCTCAACTGCTACAGCCATCCTGTGCCTCACCTGCTACAGCCGTCTTGTGCCTCACCGGCTAACAGCCATCATTTCCTTCACTTGCTACAGCCGTCTTGTCCCTCACCTGGTAGAGCCGTCTTGTGCGCGCCACCAGGTTGAGGAGGGCGCAGATGCCAGCGAGGCACACGAGGGCCATCACCAGGAAGGTCAGGCGGAAGCAAGCCGGCCCCATGCACCGGTGGGGCAGCTCTGACTTCCCTGATAGCAGCTCGGCTGCCCCTGCTGCCCCTGTTGCCCATTGCCCCCTGGATGTGGAAGACAGTGCAGGCACAGAAGTTGCAGCAGTGGTGGCGGTGGTTGTGATAGGAGACACGGAGGGAGAGGCAAGCGAGGAGGAGGAGGAGAGGGCTTGCAGGTGGAGGGAAGCTGACCGTTGGATGGCGGATTGACGGTCGTAGATGTAGCCGGCTAGCTTGACGGAGAGGCAGTAGGAGCCCACCGTGGATGAGATGCTGGCGGGCAGGGGCACGGGCAGGGGGGGTGAAGGCAGGCAGATGAAGTCAGGCAGATGGAGAGACGGAGAAGCAAGGGACGTGAGAGTAGAACGCTTTGGGCCATGAGGATTTACAAGTACAGAGGCGGATCAGACAGCAACATTCTAGACGGTTTGGCCTTGACCAGTGAAATGCCTGTTGTAATATATTATTATATACAACATGCATGACTAGAATAGGAGGTGTAGACATTTAAGTTATTGGGGGGTTGTTGGTTGGGATCACCAACCACAATTTGGTTGGTCAAGATTGGATTTAGCCTTGGTCCTTTGGTTGGCACTTTCCAACCGAATGGTCCCAAGGCTCCACCAATCAGCAACCACCACACTTTGGGGTTGCTTCCCCTCCAAGCTACCTCTCCCATTGGCCACTATTCTAGTCAAAAGGAGTGCTTTCCGTTCCAACCTTTTCTTGCTCCTTGGTTGTACTATAGAGCCTCTTGGCTCCTTTTCTAGTTAACACTTTTCTCTCTAATGTTACTTCTCTCATGGTATTCAGAGCGAATGGCTCACGCCACCCGGTCGATCCTAACTAGCACGGCCTAGTCCTTCCTCCCCTCCTCGCTCTCCAGCCCTAACCCGCCCTCAGGCTACCCCGCTGTCCCTTCCGGTATCCCCTCCTCTCCCGCTTCCGCCTTGCGCTCCTTGCATCGCGTGTCTCCTCGCGCGCTCCTCCCGGCGAGCCCCTCCCGTCGCGCTGCTCCCGTCGCGCTGCTCCCGTCGCGCTGCTCCCGTCGCGCTGCTCCCGTCGCGCTGCTCCCGCCGCGCTGCTCCCGTCGCAGTTTTCGCGTCGCACTGTTCCCGTCGCACTATTACCGTCGCACTGTTCCAGTCGCGCGCTCCTCCCGTCGCGCGCTGCTCTTCTCCCGCTGCTTCTGTCGCACTGCTCCCGTCGCGCTCTCCTCCCGTCACGCTCCTCCAGTTGCGCGCTCCCCCCTTCATGCGCTGCTCCCGTCGCGCTGTTCCCGTCGCGCGCTCCTCCCGTCGCGCTTCTCCAATCGCGCGCTCCTCTCGTCGCGCACTGCTCCCGTCGCGCGCTGCTCCTGTCGCGCTGCTCCCGTCGCGCTGTTCCCGTCGAGCGCTGCTCCCGTCGCGCTGTTCCCGTCGCGCTGTTCCCGTCGCGCGCTCCTCCCGTCGCGCTGCTCCCGTCGTGCGCGGCCCCCGGCGCGCTCCTCCCGCCGCGCTCCTAAAGTCGCGCGCTCCTCTCGTCGCGCGCTGCTCCTGTTGTTATAAAATATATATCTATAAAACATGCATGCCTAGATTAGGAGGTGTAATCATTATAATTATTGGGGGGTTGTTGGTTGGGTTGACCAACCCCACATTTGGGTTGGTCAAGTTTGGATTTGGTCCTAGACATTTGGTTGGCACTATTCCAACCAAATGGTCCTTGGTCCTAGGAACCAACCAATCACCAAGCATCACAATTTATGGTTGCTTGCCTTCCAAGCAATCTTTCCCATTGGTCCACATTGTGGCCAATCGGAAAGCACCACACTTTGTGGTTGCTTGCCCTACAAGCAACCTCTCCCATTGGTCCACTTTATGGCCAATTGGAGAGTTTCCCTTCCAACTCTTCCTTGCTCCTTGTTTTGTACAATAGAGCCTCCTCGCTCCCTACTCAATTCAATCCTTTTTCCTCTAAGCTAGTTCCTTCACCCGTCGCCTACGGCGACTTAAGAGCTGTGCTCCACGCACCCGTTCATTTCTCCTCCTCCCTCCTCCTCTTCTTCCCCCTCCCTCCTCCTCCTCTTCCCCTCTCCTTCTCCTCCTCCCTCCTTCCTGCCCCCCCCTTTCCCCCCCTTCCTTCCCTCCAGCATGGCGTCCTTGGATACTTCCGTGGATCTTGCCACCATGGATGCCCTTGAGCTGCTGTCGGACAACACTGCTGCAAGCTGGCATTCCTATGCCCACTCCATCGCCGTCCTCCTCTCCTCCGTGACAGTCACCGGCTTCAATCTCAAAGCTGTTGTTTTCATGGAGGAGCGCGGCCTTCAGCCTGTTGCGCCTGTCGCTCCCGAGGGCCCTGCACCCGATCATCCTGGTGATGCTCTCGAGTCCCCTGGCGATTCGCCCACTTTCGCCCCGGACGTCAGCGACCTGCAGAGCTCGGAGACCGCCATCCGCACGTATCGCAGCAGCCTCACCAAGCACCTCCGCCTGCTGCTGACCTATGAGAGTCAGAAGACCAAGTTTGATGCTGCATCCGCCGCCTACACTGCGCACCAGGCGGAGCTCGCTACCTACTCCACCCGCCAGCAGCTGTACATCACCAACATCACTGCCTGGCGTGTCGCTGATCGGCGTGCACTCGCCATCCTTCTCGCCACCATCCCCTCCTCCCTCAAGCGGGAGCTTGCTCCCACCTCCTCCTCCCACCTGTGGCAGCTCCTCACCGATCTCTATGATCGGCAGGACATTGCCACCCTCTACGCCCTCATTAAGGAGTTCGGGTCCCTGACCATGGATTCCTCCACCGGCGCAGCTGCATTCACTCGTCGTGTGCTCGACCTCGTCAGCCGCCTCGCTGCTCTCGGCGTGCCGTACCCGGATCCTGTGCTGTGCTGCCACCTCCTTGAGGGCCTGACTCCTGCCTTCGACGCCCACAAGCTCACCTACATGCAGCTCCTCTCCAAGAATGATACCCCAGCTCAGGTCGCTCAGTGGATCATCACCACTCAGGCCGATCTCTTACGCCATTCCTCACCCTCCGCCGCAGTCGCCGAGCCATGCAGCAGCAGGGGTGGGCGCGGGGGTGTACGTGGCGGTAGTCGCAGTGGAGCTGTGGGTCGTGGTGGTTCTGGGCGTGGTGGTGCAGGCCGTGGTGCAGCAGCGGCCTTCCCTCCCAGCCAGTATCTCCCTCGCTATGGCCCTACTCAAGGTCAGCGCTGCGGCCAGACCACTCATTCCACTGAGACGTACTTCAAGGCACCCAGTGATGAGTGGTTTGCCCGTGGCAATTCCGACATTCCTCCTCGCTGGTCCTCCCTCACTCCCCGCCCCACTCCCCAGGAGGTGCGTACCAATCTCCTCTACCAGCCCTATTCCTCCGCCCAGGCTAACCAGGCCATCGCCTCTCCCCTCCTTCAGCAACCGCAGCAGCAGCAGCCAGGGGTGCAGCAGCAGGGGCAGCAGCAGCAGCAGCAGCAGCAAGGGGTGCATCAGCAGCAGCAGGGGCAGCAGCATCTTCTCTCTCAGCTGCAGCAGCAGGTTCAGTAGCTGCAGCAGCAGGTTCAGTAGCTCCAGCAGCAGTTTCACCTCCAGTCACAGCTGCCACTAGCTCCTCCTCCCATGGTATCTCACCAGCAGTACTTCCCCGCTCGGACTGGAGGGAGTGCTGCCTCAGCCGCGCATCCCTTGCGCTCTCTGCTGTTGGCAGTGTAACCACCCCCTTCCCTTCTTCTGGCTTTGTTGGCATGCTTAGTCAGGCTGACCCTCCTGCTCCTTCCATGTATTCCGGTGCTATTAATGAGAATGTGTTTCAATACTCCACCCCCCCACCTCCTCCCTCGCCTCTACCTCCCTCCACCCTGGAGTTCGTCCTTGACAGTGGAGCCACTGAGACAGTCCTCCGCGACGCTCGTACTCTTAATCCCCTTTCCGTTCCAACTTCCTTCCTTGGTGCTGACACCAGTTTCTCCATCCCCTGTCGGCACACCTCCACCCTCCCATGAGCCCTCTTCCCCTCAGGTACCGTAACTGGGCTTCACATCCCTTCTCTTCGTACTGACCTCCTTTCCCAAAGATCCCTGCAACAAGCTGGTATCACTACAGTCTTCCCACGTCGCGCAAACCATTGCCTCCTGTATCACCCCACTGGTCGTATCCTCTCCCGCATTCCCTTTTGCCCTCACTCACACCTGTATACCCTCAAGGTCCCCCTCCCTCTCACCTTTCCCCCCTCCCTCCCTCCTCTGCTCCTCCTTGCTCCATCTGTGTCTAGAGTAAGGTCAAGCAACTCCCCCATCAGAGTTCCCCCTCCACTGCCGCTAAGCCGCTTGACCTTGTTCACATGGACCTCTCGGGCCCCAACCCCTCCCCTTCCCGCCAGGGCCATCGCTACATGTTCGTCCTGGTCGATGATCACAGCCGGTATTCCTCCGTCTCCCTCCTCCGCTCGAAGGGCGACGCTTCGGCTGCGATCATCGCCTGGCTCGAGCATGCTAGCACTCACTTTGGCCGCCCTGTCCGCCGCCTTCACTCTGATAGCGGTGGCGAATTCCTTAACCGCCAGGTAGCTTCCTATTGTGAGTCCCATGGCATTCGCCAGACTCACACCCTTCCCCACTCCCCCCAGCAGAATGGTGTGGCTGAGAATCGTGTTCGGGAGATCACCAAGATTGCTCGGTGTTTCCTAGTTCATGCCTCCTACTCTCCTTACTAACCTGTACCCTCACCCCATCCTCCCCTCCACCACTCCCACCGAGCTCTGGACGTCAGACAAGCCTGATGTCTCCTCCCTTCGTGTGTGGGGCTCCAAGGCGTATGTTCTCATTCACCCCTCGGATCGCCCCCGCGCAGTGGGCAAGCTCACCTCCCGCACTCTCCCCTGCATTTTCCTTGGTCATAACTCTTCCTCCCCTGACTACCTCTTCCTCCATCCTCCTTCATGTCGTTTCCTCCGCAGTCGAGATGTGGTCTTTGATGAGTCCACACCCTACTATTCCTCCCCTCCTGCCACTGACCCCCTCACTCCCACTCCCAGGTCCCTTACCTGGTCTAACACTCGCCCCCCCCCTCTTCTCCCTCCCCCTCCCATTCTCCCCCCCGCCCCACCTCCGCCCCCCCTGCCTCCTCAGCCCCCAGTGCTCTTGCCTCCTCAGGTGACATCTTTGATCCCCCAGTCCTAGGTGCCCCCCCTCCTGATACCTTGTCCTTCTCTACCTTGCCTCCTCTCTCCTCTCTCATGCGCCTCCTTTTCCAGGCTGTCTTGCAACAAAACACCAGTCCCACCCTGACGCCGAGCTCCAGTGTCGCAGTCCCAGCAGCAGCAGCCCCATCTGCAGCCGCAGTTCCTCCTCCCACATCCTCACTTTGCAGCGGCAGCAGCAGTCTCTCCTCCCTCATCCTCACCAGCAGCGGCCTCAGCAGCGGCAGTAGCAGATGCAACGGCGGCAGCAGCAGCAGTAGTTCTCTCCTTCAACTTCCACTCCTCCCTCCTTGAGGACTCTCATGAGGAGTTCCTGAACCTCCACCTCCATGATCCCTCCCTCCTTCCCATCTCCCCTGACCTCTCCGGCACACCTGTCTTCGCCTTCGCCTCTGGCCCCGCCATCTTCGTCCCTGGCACGTACGAAAAGACGATGGCGTGCCCTGACGCCCACCTCTGGCTCGCGGCCATCCTCAAGAAGTTGGAGGCCTTTATTGCCAACTCCTCTTTTGTGGATGTGCCATGTCTCCCCTCTACCACTAATGTGGTCAAATGGAAGTGGGTGTTTCAGGGGAAGCAGCTGCCTGGCGAGCCGCCGGTCTACAAGGCCCGCTACGTTGCCAAAGGCTTCACCCAGCGCTACGCCGTCGACTTCTTCGACACCTTCTCTCCCACCGCCAAGCCTGCCACTATTCGTGCAGTGCTTTATCTCACTGCCCGCCTAAACATGGAGATCCACTCCATGGACGTCTCCAATGCCTTCCTCCAGGGCATTCCTCGCGAGCTCATCTTCATGGATCGTCCTGCAGGCTTCCACCTTCCCTTCCCTCCTGATTCCGCCTGGCAGCTGCGTCGCCCAGTTTACGGCCTCAAGCAGGCCCCCAGGGAGTGGCATGCCAAGCTCGCTGTCACCCTTGCTGATCTGCTTTCGCACCTCCCGCGCCGATCCCAGCCTCGTCCTCCGCACCTCCCCCTCCCCCTTCCACATCCTTGTCTATGTAGATGATATGATCCTTGTCACTGCCGACTCCGCCGAGCTCGAGCGCGTCAAGCGCGAGCTCGGCAGTCGGCTCAAGTGCAAGGACCTGGGTGAGCTACAGCATTACCTCGGCATGGAGATCACCCGTGACTGCGCAGCTCGCACCATCTCCCTCTCCCAGAGCCACTACCTGCAGCAGGTCCTAGAGCGGTTTGACATGGCCAGTGGCAGCCCTCAGCCCACTCCTCTTCGTGTTGGGCACCACCTCGCTCCTCCCACCTCCCCCTCCTCCTCCCCTCACCCCTATCTTGAGCTCATCGGCTCCCTCATGTACGCCATGGTCTCCACTCGCCCCGACCTGGCATACCCCATCAGCGTCTTGGCCCGCTTTGTTGGTACCGGCAAACACAATGCCACATACTGGCAGACGGCCAAACGCGTCCTCCGCTATCTCCGAGGGACCAAGGACTACGTCCTTACCCTTGGTGGCCCCTCCCCTCCCCTCCTCACCGGCAACTCAACTCCTCTTGGGCCGATTCTCGGCCCGACCGCCACTCCTCTATGGCTTTTCTCTCGGCAGCGGCCTCATCAGCTGGCGTTCCACCCGCTCCTCCACCATCGCTCTCTCCTCCTGCGAAGCGGAGCTGTACGCCGCCACCATGGCCGCTCAGGAGGCCCGTTGGCTCTCTTTCCTTCTTGAGGAGCTTGGTGCCCCTCAGTGCTGTCCCACCATCTTGTGCGACAACGCCATCACCATCCACCTCATGAAGGATGCGATGTTTCACGGGCGCTCGAAGCACATAGAGCTTCGCCACTACTTCATTCGCGAGCTCGTTCAAGACGGCCACCTCCAGATGGGTAAGATTGCCTCTGATATCTTCACCAAGGCTCTCCCCCTCACCCTCCACGCCTCCCTCCTCCGTCTCCTTGGCCTCACCCCTCCTATCACCCTTCCGCCTCTTAATTCATGGCTTCTAGTCTTATGCATGTTGGGGGGTTGTATTGTAATATATTATTATATACAACATGCATGATTAGAATAGGAGGCGTAGACATTTAAGTTATTGGGGGGTTGTTGGTTGGGATCACCAACCACAATTTGGTTGGTCAAGATTAGATTTGGCCTTTGTCCTTTGGTTGGCACTTTCCAACCGAATGGTCCCAAGGCTCCACCAATCAGCAACCACCACACTTTGGGGTTGCTTCCCCTCCAAGCTACCTCTCCCTTTGGCCACTATTCTAGCCAATAGGAGTGCCTTCCGTTCTAACCTTTCCTTGCTCCTTGGTTGTACTATAAAGCCTCTTGGCTCCCTTTCTAGTTAACACTTTTCTCTCTAATGTTACTTCTCTCAATGCCTAGACTAGACCCTCCTGCCGCATTTGTCAAGAATGTTGCATTCACGTAAGCATACTGCACTCACCTGAGCGTATTGTAAAGCGCCCCAAAGTGTTTTAGCCCGAACAGCTCAGACGCAGTGGTGACCATCAGCGTCCAATGCGCCCCGTGCGCCGCCCCTACCAGCGCCGCTGCGGGGTAAAGAAGCAGAGGGTCTGCAGGGTAGGGGAAGCAAACAGGTTTGGGGGTAGAGGGGCAACAAACATGGATGGCGGATGCATTGACGCAGTGGTGACCATCAGAGTCCAATGCGCCCTGTGAGCCGCCCTTACCAGCGTCGCTGTGGGGTACAAGAGGAGAGGGTCTGGATGCAGGGGGGTAGGGGCAGTGCGTGGAGACGGGGCCACAGACCACCCGCATTCAGTGTGGCCAGTGTGCCGCCCCCACCAGCGATGCTGCGGGGTACAAGAGGAGAGTTTTTGGACTCTGGATGCCGGGGCGTGGGGTGCGGAAACAGGGGGAGGGGTTGGGGGAAATGGGGAGGCGATGGGGTGACGGCAGCAAGTATGGGGAGGGCACAAGAGGCATGGGGGAATGGCGAGTGGCATGGGGGGATGGCGAGTGGCATGGGGGGATGGGGGGTTTCATAGGGGGATGGGTAAAGGAATGAGAAGTTGAGGCTAATCCCCTGGGTGCGTGTCAGCACTGGTAACAGCACCACCACTACCCAACAGAGCAACGGTTACTGCACACACGCACCTCCGATGGCAAACAGCAGGTGCCCGCATCCCCTGGCTGCCTGCACCAGCGGCATGCAGAGAGCGCCAAGTGCCAAGCGCACACCCTGCATTTGCTTTGGAAGGGCTCAGTGGCTCACTTGTCCCAGCAGCAGGCGACTCACCCCCGATGCTGAAGAGCAGGTGTGCGCACCCCATGGCCGCCTGCACCAGCAGCATGCACAGCGGGCGTGGTGTGCAGAAGCGCTTCAAGCACTGCTCCGACACGTAGCTGGACGCATGGAGGGGGGGAAAAAAAGGAAACTTGAAAAAATCGAACTGAACAGACAGTGGCTTCGCTTGCAAACAGAACAAGCTGTTTCAAATCTTGAAAAAAAAACCTTCTGTACTCACCCAGCCGCCATCCTTCCAAGAAAGTTCCAGATGCTGACGAGAGCAACAAGGGCGCCCACACTCGCAGAACCAAGAGACTCCGCCACCTGGCAGGGGGGGGGGGGGGGGGAGGGGGAAGGGGACACAGGAGGTCACATGAAGGTCATTTGGTTTCTGAATGGGCAGTTTGGAGGGGAGCAAGAGGCGTCGTGTGTGAGGCACTTGAGCTACAGGAGGGATGGAAGGTAAATGACGCATGGCATGAGAAGAACAAGACATGGTTCTATAAGTGGCGTGGAGGGAGGAGGAGGCGCATCAGGCCACGTCAGCAAGGTTGCCATGGAGCGGAGGCACGGTTGGTGACCCTAAAACCCTCCGTCTCCTGCCTCGTTCCCCCATGCCTCTCCCAAGCACATGCCATCATCCCCAACTTCTTCCCCACACACACTCTCTGCCTCACACTCACTCTCTACCTCACACTCACTCTTTGCCCCCCACACACATTCTCTGCCTCACTGTAGCGAACCCTCCCCTATCCCATGTCCCTCATCCCCCCCTTAGGCTAATCACAAGTGTTTTCCTCCTCTCAGCTCCCAATGGCACACTGTATGTCCCATACTGCCTGTCCCCCTTCCCCCCACTGCCTAAACCCGCCACCTGCGCCAGGTTGTTGATGGCAGTGAGCCCTGACCCCGTGCCACACCCCATGGCGAAGAACAGCAGCCTGCGGGCCGGGCATGAGGGAGGAAAGGGGGGAGGGTGCCAAGGACGGAAGGGATGGAGAAAGCGGGGCGGGGAGAGTAATTGGGGGAAACTGCAACAAAGTGGGGGAGGAAGAGAGGTTGGTTGGCTTACACCTCACACCTACTGTGTAGCTGCAGGGTTGCTGGCAGCCAACCGACATGCAAGGTCAGAACTTTCCTACTGCCCCACGCACGGCCACCCTTCCTCTTGTCCGCCTCTTCCATCCATCCCCCTGCCTCCCATTATGAGGAAATTCCCGAGTGTCCTATAGCTGCATATTCGTACCAGTATTCAGGAGTCACAGCAGCCTGCCCCAGCGTGTGATCCACGCCCACTCGAAGAGCATTCCCTCTCTGCCCTCGCACCTCCTCCACAACCCCACGCGTACTACCCCTGCCGTCACTCTCCTGGCACTTGCCGTCCCTCCCATCCTCCCCGCCGCCACCCACGCAACCACCCACGCAACCACCCACGCCACCACCCACGCCACCACCCACGCCACCACCCACGCCACCACCCACGCCACCACCCACGCCACCACCCACGCCACCACCCACGAAACCACCAACGGCACCACCAGTCCCCCCATACTGCCTCCCAAACCACTGCCCTGCCCACTGCTCCCTCCCTGCCCCAAGGCCGACCCTCGCACCCCCGGGCTGCCAGCCCGTTCACTCGCGCGCCCTGCACTACCGTCGGTAGCGGGTGTGCTTGTAAAGGACGTCGCCCTGAGAGGGCTTCCTTCGGTGTCGCTGAATGACTCACAGCTGCCCCTTCGGCTCATCACCCCCACGCCAGCGCTGCTGCAACTGCTGCCCACCCTACCACTGTTGCTGCTGCTGTCAGTGTGACTGGGATGAGAGAGCAGAGGGAAGGTCTCTCCAGCAGTGCTGTCATCCGCACCACGTGGCGAGGAGTGATCCGTGCGTGCATCTGCATGAGTCGCTATGCGCATGCCAGTGGGCTTCGAGTTGAAAGAGGTAGCAGCAGAGATAGCAGAAGAGGTGTCGGAAGAGCGGAGGTGGTGATAGTCTTGTGACATGTGGAGTGGAATCTTGGAGCCGATGGGGGCACTTGATTTGACCCACTGGGGGGGATGCCAGGGCGGGAATGTTGCGAGAGCGGGTGGGGGGGGTGGGGTGAGGGGGGGGAAGGGAGGGTGGAGTTGGTGTGAGGCTTTGGAGAGGAAGGCATGGAAGCGACAGAAAGAGGCAGGGAGGGGGAGGAGAGTGAGACTAGTGGAAATGATGGCTAAGGGATCGGTGGCGGATGTGGGAGAGAGGAGGCGCACGATCGCTGGACGGAAAAAGAGCAAACAGTTGCAAAAGATGACCACAATAGGGAAAGCGAGAATGGACTTGCGCCACTGAAACGTGAAAGCGGGCTTCTCATAAAAATGCAGCGGGGAGAGAAAAGTGCAGTGGAGAATGGGCGTCCCAGGATACACAGGGATGGGGATGGGGGGGGAATGGAGAAGCGCCTAGTGGCATGGAGATGGAAATATGGTGATGAGGATGAGGAGAAGTCATACTGGGAGAGTGATGAGGAGAGGTCATACCGGGAGAGTGATGGGGAGAGTGTTGTAAAATATATATGTATACAACATGCATGCCTAGATTAGGAGGTGTAGTCATTATATTTATAGGGGGGTTGTTGATTGGGTTGACTAACCCCACATTTGGGTTGGTCAAGATTGGATTTCGTCCTAGACATTTGGTTGGCACTATTCCAGCCAAATGGTCCTTGGTCCCAAGACCCAACCAATCACCAAGCACCACACTTTGTGGTTGCTTACCTTCCAAACAACCTTCCCCATTGGTCCACATTGTGGCAAATCGGAGAGCACCACACTTTGTGGTTGCTTGTCCTCCAAGCTACCTCTCCCATTGGTCTACATTACAGCCAATGGGAGACCTTCCCTCCATCTCTTCCTTGCTCCTTGTTGAGTGATGGGGAGAGGTCATACCGGGAGAGTGATGGGGAGAGGTCATACCGGGAGAGTGATGGGGAGAGTTCATACTGGGAGAGTGATGGTAAGAGGTCATACCGGGAGAGTGATGGGGAGAGGTCATACCGGGAGAGTGATGGGGAGAGGTCATACTGGGAGAGTGATGGGGAGAGGTCATACCGGGAGAGTGATGGGGAGAGGTCATACCGGGAGAATGATGGGGAGAGGTCATACCGGGAGAGTGATGGGGAGAGGTCATACCGGTAGAGTGATGGGGAGAGGTCATACCGGGAGAGTGATGGGGAGAGGTCATACCGGGAGAGTGATGGGGAGAGGTCATACCGGGAGAGTGATGGGGAGAGGTCATACCGAGAGAGTGATGGGGAGAGGTCTTACCGGGAGAGTGATGGTGAGAGGTCAAACCGGGAGAGTGATGGGGAGAGGTCATACCGGGAGAGTGATGGTGAGAGGTCATACCGGGAGAGTGATGGGGAGAGGTCATACCGGGAGAGTGATGGGGAGAGGTCATACCGGGAGAATGATGGGGAGAGGTCATACCGGGAGAGTGATGGGGAGAGGTCATACCGGTAGAGTGATGGGGAGAGGTCATACCGGGAGAGTGATGGGGAGAGGTCATACCGGGAGAGTGATGGGGAGAGGTCATACCGAGAGAGTGATGGGGAGAGGTCTTACCGGGAGAGTGATGGTGAGAGGTCAAACCGGGAGAGTGATGGGGAGAGGTCATACCGGGAGAGTGATGGTGAGAGGTCATACCGGGAGAGTGATGGTGATAGGTCATACCGGAAGAGTGATGGGGAGAGGTCATACCGGGAGAGTGATGGTGAGAGGTCATACCGGGAGAATGATGGGGAGAGGTCATACCGGGAGAGTGATGGGGAGAGGTCATACCGGTAGAGTGATGGGGAGAGGTCATACCGGGAGAGTGATGGGGAGAGGTCATACCGGGAGAGTGATGGGGAGAGGTCATACCGGGAGAGTGATGGGGAGAGGTCATACCGAGAGAGTGATGGGGAGAGGTCTTACCGGGAGAGTGATGGTGAGAGGTCAAACCGGGAGAGTGATGGGGAGAGGTCATACCGGGAGAGTGATGGGGAGAGGTCATACCGGGAGAGTGATGGGGAGAGGTCATACCGGGAGAGTGATGGGGAGAACCAGCAGCAGCAGCATGCCCGTCATGAAGACAAGGCGATAGGGGCGAGAGAGAGACAGGGACTCCTGGGTGATGGGCGGGTGGGTCATGGGAAAGTGAAAGCAGCACCAACAGGGTTATGGAAGCTGATAAAACATGAGGGATGTGAGGGCTGCTGGTAAGGCGGAAAGTCAGCAGTACAGTGATATAGGATGCATGCATGTCACGTACGGCAAAACTTGTTAGACTTGACGCTGACTGGAGTGGGGAGTACAATGCGGAGGGTTCAGTGGTAGCCCAGTAGGTGAAGTGGTAGCCCCATAGGTGCAGTGGTAGCCCAGTAGGTGCAGTGGTAGCCGAGTAGGTTCAGTGGTAGCCTGGTAGGTAGACATGGGCAGCATGCCGAGCCTGGCTCGACTCGGCTCGACTCGACTGGCCTTTTTGGCGAGTCGAGCCTGGTTTTTTTTTTGGCTGGCTCGCCCCGAGTCGAGCCGGGTCGAGCCGGTTGAGCCGCGCGGCTCGACTCGACTCGTCGCAAATTTCAGGGCGAGCCGAAGTCGAGCCGGCCCGACTTTGGCTCGACTTTGGCTCGACTTTGGCTCAACTCCCGAAGCGCGCGGCTCGCCCGTGGGGGGTCAAAATTCGACCCCCCTGGAAGTTGACAATCCATTCTAGATTTTCGCCATCGAGCCTAAGCCTACATCTGAGCTATTTCGCCACCCTAGCTTGCCCTCTTTCCACCAACACCACTACTTCATATTTTTTTCGACTACCTTTTGGTGTTGTAGGAAGGATGTAAGGGCTTAGGGACCTCTACATGCAGAACATTTACAGCGATCTAGCAAGACCTTTTCAAAACATGCAGAAGAAACCCTTTTGGCGAGTCAAGCCGAGCCGAGCCAAAGTCGAGCCGACTCTTGGCTCGACCCTGAACCCCCGATTCGAGCCAACCATTTTAGGGCAGCCGGCTCGGGTCGAGCCGAGTCGGCTCGGCTCGACTTTTGCCTGGCTCGAGTTCGAGTCGAGCCGAGTCGAGCCAGGCTCGGCATGCTGCCCATGTCTACCGGGAGGTGCAGTGGTAGCCCGGTAGGTGCAGTGGTAGCCCGGTAGGTGCAGTGCATTCAAGCACCGTGGCAGCGCAAATGAGCAGATGGGATGAGCAGGTGAGCATGGGGTGCGGCATCACTCAGTTTCTCACACAACTGAGTCGCAACTTGGCCACGCTGCCACTGCATCCCGTTTGAGACTCCATGCAGTCTCCTGGAGACTCGTTGTCATTCGATGACCCGTACACCGCAGATCACTTGTCACCATGACATGCCATTGCATTGCGTCACTCCTTACTTGCACCGCACCGTATGCATTTGACCAATACCAGCTATGCGTGTCCAGCATGCACCTGGCGTACCTGCAGGGCCATGACTAGCATGAGGTACAGCGCGAGGCCCACTCCAACGACCTGATGGGGGGAAAGAAGGTACGGGGGAGAGAGAGGAAGGGGGAAGAAAAGGGGGGAGGGGAGGTGTGGAATCCGGGGCAAGTGGGGGGGATGTGCACACGCAGCAAGCAATGAGTCAAACAAACACGTCATATCGTACTGTGCTGAACTGAACGCTGCCAAGGGCGTCTGAGAAAGAGAAAAGGAGCCTCTGAGAAGGAAAGCCCGGTTGAGAAGCCTCTGAGCGGCGTGCGAGGAGAGAGAGCAAGGCACAAAGAGAGGGAGCGACGCACATAGAGGAACCGGAAGCGGGAGTTATCGCCCGCATCTCTCTTGGCAGCGGCGAGCAGGCGCGGGTCCATGGGGCGGATGACAGCCATGGCGAGCAGGGCCACCACAGGGGGCAGCAGCGCGCACAGCAGGAGGAACGGGGCCGTGTGGGGCGCGTACAGAGCTGTGTAGAGCTGGGAGAGAGGGACAGCGGACGGGGGGTGTGGAGGGGGGGATGGGAGTAAAGGGGGGAAATAGGGAGGAGGGGGTGGAGGAAGTGGGCAAGGGTTCACAAGGTGATAGATGACCAATGAGGGCAGTGCAGTGAGAGGGGGTAGGAGCACGTGGACCTGGAAGCAGTGTGTGGCGTGCTCGGAGCTGAGACAGGGGGGGAGGCAGTGGGCCAGTTGAAGGCGAGGGAGGGGAGGAAGGAGAAGGGTGGATATATCTACATGTATGCATATTTTTCTGAGTGCCAAGCTGCAAGTGACATCAGAGATACCGTGGGGCCAATTGCTGGTCACTGGACCATCCTGTTCCCCCCTCTCCCCTACCCTCCTCGTGCAAACAAAGGCTGGACAAAAACCCGCGTACCTAGCACTCAGCGCACTCAGCAGCGTCAAACAAGCACGCTCTTTGTCTTGGGTGTTAGGCCCTCACGCTTCACAGTGGTCCTGCTTGATTCCATGCTCCACCGTATCGCCGCCCCCACATAATTTGAGACCGCCTTCATGCGCCATGTCCCCGATAACTGGTGCATGCAGCAGAGAGACTTTCATGCCTTGTCCCACCCAATGAGCCACTACCTAATTCGCATACCACTTCCATTTCTCTACAGCTGCACCAAGTACGAGCTGCACAGAGTATAACCTGCACCAAAAACCATCTTCTCCACCACCAGTGTGAGAGCCACCAAGCCCTACAGAGCCTTGAGCAGCCCAACCATCACGGCCCTATCGTCCTCACAGGTACTGCCTTGACTCCCCCCCCCCCCCCACCCCGCCTTGCCAATCTGACCTGCGTGAAGATGGCCCCGCTGAGCCCGATGAAGCCCTTGAGCAGCCCCACCACCACGCCCCTGTCGCCCTCAAAGTTGCGGATGCTGCCACGCAGAGCAGCACGAGAATGGGGGAAGGGGGCATTGGGGGGAGGACAGAAGGGGGGACAGAGAGAAGGGGGTACGGGGGGGAGCGTGGAGCGCAGTAGAGATGGGGTGGGATGGAGATGGCGAAACCTCTATATTGAGGAGAGGGGAGCAGAGGGATGCAGAGAGAGCAGGAGACACGAGGGCAGGCGAAGAGAGAGAGCAGAATGGATGGTGAGCAGGCGACGAGAGAGAGAGCAGAATGGATGGTGAGCAGGCGACGAGAGAGAGAGCAGAATGGATGGTGAGCAGGCGACGAGAGAGAGAGCAGAATGGATGGTGAGCAGGCGACGAGAGAGAGAGCAGAATGGATGGTGAGCAGGCGACGAGAGAGAGAGCAGAATGGATGGTGAGCAGGCGACGAGAGCAGGTGTTGAAGTATCGAGGCATGGCAGGTGCAGAGGCGAAGAGGCTCACCATGTGACGAGCACAGCCGTGTTGAACCACGTGGCACCGTTGGTCCCGAGCATGATGAAGACGCACATCTGCCAGATACAATGAACTCGGACGCAAAGAAGTACTTTTGAGGCGCCTCAGAACGAGCAGAGCTGATGGCGATGCGCATGAGAACACACAGACAGTTGAACGCGATGGGATGGAAAGCACAACCCAGCAGATGCTCAAAGCGATGCTCTTCAACGCATTGCTCAACCAGACATTTGAAGGCACGAGAGACTCGAGAGGGTTGGGCCCAGGGAACGGGCTGAACCATCTGAAACGGGCCTGCCTGGTAGAAACAGCAAGGTTCAGCTGACACGGAATTCACCTGCACGCAAACAGCAAGACTCGCCTGAATTGGGCTCCAGAGAGAAACGAGGGGAGCGCACCTGCCAGAAGGGAGGGCGAGTGATCCCCATTGACGCCATGTACAGCTGGCACGCGGAGATTGGTGGAGAGAGGGAGGCCGGTTGAGAGGGCGAGGGAGGGGAGACAGTGCAGAGAGGTGGTGACGAGGTGAGACATAGAAAGGTGTGGAACGGGGAGGGATATGGAATGGGGGAAGGGGGGAGGAGGAGGGGGGTGGAGGGGGGGGGGGGGACCTGAAAAAGGCAGATAACGAGTGAAGGGATGAGAGGAGAGCGCTACATGCTGATGTAAAAATGAACTGGTGCAACTTTCAGTGCGTGCAGTGTACCATGGAGTACCCGAACAGGTGCATGGCCGCGCCTATAGCGAGGATAGCCCACGCGGGCATGAGGTCGATCAGCAGCCCCGACACGATCCCCACGTTCCCGCCAATATCCTTCGCGGTTCCTAACCCGTCCACCAGTTCTTGCGAGTACTGTAGCTTGTTCTTTAGCGCGGCGGAGTATAGCGAGAACGCGTACGAGATCCCCCCGCACGCCTGCAGCCACATGCCGAGGATGAGCCCCAGCCACCGGTCCCGCCACATGCGCTGCACGCGATTCAGGAGCGTCGCCATGGCTGGCGGTACTACGCGCGAATGATGGCGGCACGGGAACCGCCACTACGAGCACCAGTAAAAGTGCCGGCAGTGTCCGGCCGTAGACGCGCGCATTGGGCTGGATCCAGGATCGCGGCACGTCGGATGCAAAGAAGGTGAAGGCAGTGCGAAAGCAGGTGAGTCAAAGCCGGCGCGGAAGGAAGCAAGGAAATCACGGCCTTCGTGGCATCGGTAAGAGAATGCGATGATCGGCTCAGACCTCGAGGACCCGTTGCCTGTCGCCCGCAGCGTCCATCGCATGGACCTGGACGAATGCTCGAGATGCATGGGCCAAGAAAACAGCCTGACACACCCCTCTCCCTTGTGTAAACGGAGCTTCATAAAACGTCGAAAATGCATTTGAGGTTGATGCACCGCACTGTAACATGTGGCACCGCTCCTTCCGCCTTGAATAAAGCTCAGCTCACACAGCAACCCACTTCTAACAAGTGTTGAAACTCGCAATGCCATTCGCCGATCTGAGCTGCCACGCTGGACAAAAGCGAGGACGCATTTCCCTCGAGTTAGGGACGTGTTAAAGCCCGCGTCTACATTTGTGGTTGCTGTTTTCAAATTAAAAACATTTGAAAGGAGGTAACCTGATGGACTGAGCTACTTTGCCGCTAACTCGCCCAAACCTTTAAAAACATTTGAATCTGGCCTCGATCACAATTGTGTACAGATTTGGCTCACCCCAGGATTTCGATTCCCCTCCCCCTCCAATTGCGATTCCCCCTCCCCCTCTAATTGCGATTCCCCCCTCCCCCCTCCAATCGCGATTCCCCCTCCCCCTCCAATTGCGATTCCCCTTTTCCCCGTCCAATTTCGATTCCCCCTCCCCCTCCAATTATGATCCCCCCCTCCCCCCTCTCCCCAAATTTCGATCCCCTCCCCCTAAAATTTCCTTCCCCCCTCCAATCTTGCAACTCCCACTTCTCGATGCTTGCGAAGTCCGCATACTCTGTCGTCAGTTTTCCAGTATCGCCTCTCTCGTAAGCCAATCACGCAATACCAGGCCGACAAATCCTAAAGCTACACCACGAACCCCCTCAAATGTAGTCGCCGGCTTTAAAGGGACGCCAATTGGAGGAAATCTCTTTGACACTGGACCCCAGCCCAGCCCCAAGGGCAAGGGCATATGCTTCCGTCAATACACATAGGCATGTCAATACCAGGACCTTGCATTCCGCTTCCACACCAAAATTGTACAGTGTATGACTAATTGTAATGAAATATTTCCTTACCACGGGTTTTAGCCACTAAGGCGTACACTGCTATAACAGGGTTGCCGCGCAGCTCTGCCACGAAATTCAAATCGCGGTCCCAAATGTGGCCTCCTGATGAGCCGCGGGCATTGTTGCCTGTCTTGCTGTTGCATGCCTAGACCTGGACGCTTCGCGCCGATTTACGAACCACACGTCGCAACTCTGCCGAGCCAGAACCGTGTGCTATAAGCTAGCTATATCCATGCTCCCTGATGTTTTGATGTTGCCTCAGTTGTATTGTTTCCTCGTTAATCAATCCTTCGACACACGCTCTTTGCGCTTCATTACACCCCGCTTCCGCAAGCTCGTCCGCAACCAGCCGCCAGCCAACTAGCCGTCAGCCGCCAGCCGCCACCAGCTAGCTTGCCATCCAGACAGCAGCCAGCCAGCTAGCCAGCCGCCAGCCAGCTCGCCAGCTGCTGCCACTCGCGCCAGCCCATGCCGACCCGCACCTGCCCGCGCCAACCAACGCCAGCTCCGCACCAGCTCGTGCCAGCCTGCACCGGCTCCACACTAGCACCGGCCGCCAACCACCAGCCACTAGCGCTGGCCACCAGCTGCCACATCTACTGTTATCCGCCACCTAGAATGTAAGACCATCATTTCACATACGGCTGATGCAACCATATATCGCCAGCAACAGCAGTTTGCCTCGTCAGCGAGCCAACCCGAACACCCGACAGCTCGCCGAACCAACCATCGAACCTGCGAAGATCCTTAGCCATCGGATCAAAGACCCTCGAGGTGCTCGTCTGATCGAGTTCCTAGTATTCTGGAAGGACCGGGCGTCCCTGGAAAACAATTGGGTGCCCCTCATACATATCAAGAATTACATGGCGTTACGAGTCTACCTCCAGTCACGCAAGGTGCGTGATGTCGATGAGCTTAGTAAATACCATACCTAGGACGGGGAAGAGTGTTAGGAAATGGTATTTCTTTATCCCGGGTTTTAGTCAGTAAGGCGTACACTACTAAAACGGGGCTGTCGCGGAGCCTGCCACGAAATTCAAATCGCGACACCCAAATGTGGTTTCTTGACGAGCCGCATACATTTTGCCCGCCTTGTAGTTTTCATGCCGATAACTGGGCGCTTCAGGCCAATTTGCAAACCACACGTCTCAACTATGCCAAGACTCGACCGTGTGCTCCAAGCCTAGCTATATCCAAGATCTCGGTTGTTTTTATATTGCCTCATTGTATGAAACACAAGGCTAAATACAAGCATAGCTAGCCTAGCAAGGGAGCCTCGCGGAGGGCCACGGAACACACGTGAGGTGGTTTGGGCGCCTCGGGGCTCGGAATTGTCGGACGTGACTCCGTGTGTAGGCTTGGGGGCCTCGAACGTACTGTAGTTCGGGACTTGGGTTGTCCGGCCGAGCCTGGAATTCTGAAAGTCAGGGCTGTACTTGATGTTAGCGAGGCTCATTAAGGAAGAAGGGGTTTCCTTACAACATCAAGCCTTGACCTTTTTTACATACCTTCTTTCCTCTATTGTACCACACGGAGCAGTCCAAATTTCAATCCCACCTGCCACGTTCTCAGCATGACTCGCATTGACACTTGCCATAATCCTCCTAATATAAGCCTGGGGCGCTTTTAGGAAACCCCTTCAAATTTCAACGGGCGCTTGTAATCGAAAGAAAAGAAAATATATGCGCAACGCTTATCATATAGTTCTTACGGAAAAAACATATACCTTGACGACACTGTTACAGGGAAGTTTACTGTTTATAGGGTATTTACCTTGACAACGCTACTAATCGTATCCTAAAAATTATCTCTTCATAATCCAACTCAGATTTCCAACTGCCACGTGGCACTCTAGTTTCCCCAAGTAATCCCATTTTGTCCCACGACTCATTTTCCCACGGTTGTTCTTGCATGCTATGTAAGCCTTGCTTGTATCTGCCAATATCATGAATCATTTACCCAGTTAATTCTTCGCATACTTCGCCAACAACTTCTTCGCCAAAGTCTTCCACTGCGCTTTTTCCTCGACTAAGACAACCCCGCAATTCTCTGGAGGATTTAGGCCAAGCGGCCAAACACTTGGCATCCAGAGCTTGGTGGGGAACGACTTCCAATAAGACTATGCCTTCATCGCCCCGCGGTGCCAACTTGTAGACTTGGAGTCGTCGAGCCGATCATGGACACCGCCATGGGACCTCAACCCCAAGACATGGGCAATGCGCTCGCCACCCTCATGCAACAACTCGAGGCGTTGATGCTTAAAAATCGTCACGTATGGGTTGAAATGCAACAGCTTCGTAAATTGGCTTCTTCTAACCCCCATGGCCATACTGCACCAATTCCTGCACCCAACACGCCAACTGTCGTAGAAGCGCTGTCAGAACACCGAACGACACTGAAGCCGGAGAAGCCAGAGTCGTTCATCCCAAGTCATCACGACGCGAATGTGCGATGTGGACCTTCATGCTCAACAACTACTTCAACGCAAGCAGGGTGCAAGAGACAGACGCGAAGCAGCGAAATTGAGTACTCCGTGACGCTGCTGAGGGGCCCGGCATTGGATTGGTGGCGCCAACTCATGCAAACTGCTGTAAGAAGGGCTCACGTAGACAGGCATCAGCAGGGCGAGGGGAATGCAGCTGCAACGTCGAGCTTAGGTAGTCTAGCTTTGGGTGTTACCACGGTTCCAACCATATGGGGAGGATTTGAAGCGGTGCTGAAAGCTAGATTCGATTTGGTGAATGCCTCCAAAGATGCTAGGAAGCGTCTGCGTCATTTCCGCCAAATAGGAAACGTACAGGAATACACATGACAGTTCTTGAGCCTCAGCAACAAAACAGATGACATCACGGAAGCAGAAATGCGAGATCGCTACCTCGAGGGGTTAAGGTCGGACAGAGCGGAGGTCATAGCGATTCACAGGTTGTCCACCTTCGAGGCAGTAGCTGCTGCAGCAGAAGGCGTTGACGCAGTACGAAGCCGACGGGGTTATGATAGTTGCAATAGGAGCTACAAGAATCCGATCAACGATACTCGCTCGAGGGACAGACCATCGCCCATGGAGATTGTTGCAGTTAACAGTGATGGCTCACAGAGACCAGGATCTAGGGGGAACTATCACTACGGCAAAAAGCCAAGACACATGAAGCGGGATTGTCCTCAGTTTAAATAGCGGCAGCAAGGAAACCGAAACCGCCAGTAGATAGCATGGTCGCTAGCTGGTGTGCAGGCTTCCGTACCCGCCCTGTCTACCCACGTAGAAGAGACAACCCTAGAGGAGTCATCTACGCCGAACGAGGTAGACAGTGTTGATCAGCTGGTCATGCTACTTTGGAAGCGTTGTGGAGTCCTAGTCAAGATTCTCGAAGATAGCGGATCTAGCCACTCATTCGTTTCCTCGTCACTAGTCTGTCGTCACTAGCCACTCATTGGTGCTGCGATTTTCACATACTGTGGCACGAACCTGTTGAAGTAATTAGCGAAGCCTACGAACTGCTGCAACTCCTTCACGTTCTCGGGTGTCTTCCACGTACGTAGGGCTTCGACTTTCTTGGGGTCGAAGTGAACTCCTTGAGCGCTCACCAAGTGTCCTAGGAACTGGACCTTCTCAAGGGCGAATTCGCTCTTGGACAGTTTAACGTAGAATCGTTCTCGCCGAAGAATTTCGAAGACGCGTCGCAGGTGTTCGACGTGCTGCTCCATGTCGCGCGAATAGATGAGTATGTCGTCCAGGTATACCACCACGCACTCGTCCAAAAGTGGTCGTAGAATGTGGTTCATTGCGGCTTGGAACGTTGTCGGTGCGTTGGTGAGTCAGAATGGCATTACCAAATACTCGTAGGATCCATATCGACTTCGGAAAGCAGTTTTGTGGATAGAGTTGTCCGCCATCCATATCTGCCAGTATCCGGACCGCAGATCTAGTTTGGAAAATACCGTAGCTCCCCGAAGCTGGTCAAGCAGGTCATCGATTTGCGGTATCTGATATTTATTCTTAATGGTCTGCTTGTTAAGAGCTCCGTAGTCGATGCACATGCGCAGGCTTCCGTCCGGTTTCGGTGTGAAGAGTACTGGGGCACCGTACGGCGAAGTGGATGGTCGGATGAGTCCTTTGGCTAGGAGATACTCGATCTGTTTTTTCATGTCGGTCAGCTCTGTAGGGCTGAGCCGATATGGTGCTCGGAAGGTCGGCTTCGAACCCGGTTCCTCCACGATCTCGTGTTGATGCGTTCGATATGGCGGTAGCTCGTTCGGAAGATCGTCCGGAAAAATGTCTTGGAACTCCTTCAATAATTCCTTGATCTTTCTTGGAGGTTCCAAGGTTTTTTCCCTGTCGTTCTCCGCCTCTGTTGCTATTGCCAGAAACCCGGTGTCGGTTCTCTTCACGTCCTTCTCAAATCGTGCGAGTGTCTCCACTGGGATATCTCCTGTATCGTCCCAGTTGGGTAGCTGTACTCTCCGTCCATCGTTGTAGATGCTTGCGGTGCGGTTCACCCAGTTGATCTCGGGGTTGAATCTTTTTAGGAAGTCTCGCCCGAAGATCAAGTCAAGCCCTTTGATGTTGGTGATGGGGAGTGCAGGTCTCCAGCGCAGTTGTCCAATTTGTAGGTGTAGCACTCCTTTGCCGTGTACTGGTAACTTGCTGCCGTCCACCATCGTTGCAGAGAATACTGAAGGCTTATACTCTTCCCGAAGTCGGTCGATTACTGCCTTGTCACAGACGGTGTGTGATGCTCCGCTGTCCATGAGTGCTTGGAGGCGTCGTCCTTTGCAGATGACCTCGAGCACGAGGGGCAGGCGTTGC